AGAGTAACCGTGCAGCCGGTGCACCTAAACCCAAACCACAAGCCTACTTAAGAGGCAAGCTGCCCTTAAATCTCTCAGCTATGACAGCTATGAGAATTCAGGTGAACTTCTGAGCTGCCAAGCATGTCCTTAAGCCCCGCATTCCCAAGATGTTGAACTTCGACATGCACACTCCAGTGGCCCAAGCCTTGCGGAGTAGTCAAAGGACGCGCAGTCCTCAGCGCTTCATTTGGGGCCATTGGGGCTTCCTAAGTTGTTGGAGTCCGGGCCCCAACAAAGTTCTGAGGGCTTTTTCGGGCACCTTAGTTCATGGGGGAACAAGGCCAGCTCACTCAGGGATTTCTTGCCAAATACCCACGTCCTCCATGATATGGCCATGCCCCACCACTTGTGGGTTTCAAGTTGGAGCTCTTTGCAGCTCCCTGAGGAACACCTCTGCAGACTTCTGCCTTAAGCCTGGGCAGCCCTGAACGGGGCAAAAGACGAAGAAACCATCCAGACCAGCCCAGTAAACCCGGAGCTGATGATGAGCCCGCACAGGCTTCATGTGGAAACTTTTCGGGCATCCTGTACTGGAAGCTAGCATTATCACTTAAAGAATGCAGGGCAGATGAAAGTGAATCCGGCTGCGGTGTGAGGCTGAAGCATTTGGGAAGCGCAACCCAGGGTTCTGATCTCAAGGCCCTCAAGTCCCCCAACCTGCCCCAAGCCTTTACCCTCACTAGCTTACAACCCTACAAGAGCTTCTTCGTTCCTGCAGAAATCCGGAAGACATCCAGATGACCGAGGTGCGGATCGTGTCAGGCAGCGCAATGCACACTCTTCCTGCGGCGGTGCCCGTCGGGCTTCCATGCTTGGAGTTGTTGGGGTAGCAGCCCCAATGGAAACTCGGGGATTCGGGAAGGCTTGCACCCCACAAACCATTGAGCCTAAGCCAAAGGCCTGCCTTTCAGCATGCAGAACTGTCGGGCCACTGCTTTAATTCGACAGTTAATCGGAGGAGTAAGAGCCCTGGTCTTTCAGTCTCCGAAGCCGCCAAGAAGCACCAAAGCCGAGAATCGAAAGCCCCACAGCCTACAAAGCATCCAGACGGCACACTCCCAATCTATGCCCCAAAAATGGAATCGACCCACAAGCTGTCCACCTTGGGCTTCAAGAACCCTTTGAGAGGGACTCCGGGACTACAGAGGTTTTGTATATAGGCGTCAGTGACCTGTTGGTGGTTTTGGAGTTGAGGATTCAGGTCCTGGCTCCTTGAAAGCTCAGATGCTCTTAACGTTTCTCCTATAAATTATCTTAACTGTTGAGTCGTTTCGTCCCGCCTGGCTCATGACATTCCAGCTGTTGTAGTGGTTCTCCCACCTGGTCGTGCATGGGGGCTTGGGGACAAGACGGTTCATTGCCGACTTCCGCCCAGAACCCCTTCAACTCCGGGAAGTGCTCTTAACATCTCTTAACCTCGAGCTGAGAGCCCGAGCCTCGAGCCCAAGCACGCGAAACACCCAGGAACCTCTCCAACTTGCACCTTAGCCCTCTTAGCTTGCCGGGACCCTCACATAGACCCCCGAAGAGTGCCTGAGACCACCAGCTTCAGAGGAGCCGAAAGCGCTCAAAGGATCCTTGGCCACCTGCACAACGCGCAACGGCTCCGAGCCTCTCCCACTCCACTGCTGGCTCGTTTTTTTCGGGAAGAGAAATTTGTGGCTTGGAGTTTAGGGGGGCGGGAGGCGGGGGGGGGTTGGGCTTGAAGCTGAGACTTCTTCTTAGCAAAGGGGTTTGTGTGACATCAAGCTCTGAGGTTCCGGATGAAAAAGCTGGGATGCAAGACTCACCCAATCGACAATCGTCCCAAGATGCAAGCTTCAAGCTCGCCTTCATCCGACCGGGCTCACATGATAGCAGACTCTTAGGTAGGCGACAATTTACTTGCAAACATTGCAGGTGTTGAGCTCAGGGCTTCTGGTGCAATTCTCTCTGTATTCTGATCAGCCACCCTCTTTTAGGGGATGGCGGGCTGCCACGGGATGCAAAGAGGGGGAGCTGCAGCAGAGCTACAGCAGCCCATGTTTTTGCGCGAGCTTTTTTGTCAGCAAATGGAGTGCAGGAGGTTACGCTGCCCGAAACATCTTGGCGCGAGCTATTTGCCGTCAGTGCCTCAGTGCTCCCCACCGCAAAATCCGCAAAAAAGGTGTCGGAAGCCTACAGTAGGTCAGTAGGGGTTGTATATTTCAACATTTCCTGGACTTGAAACCACAGTGCCATTTTTGTCAAAGGCCTCCGTGTCCCAAAGGCTCACGGTGACGTGGCGGCTGCCACCAGAGCCGCTGTCCTCGCGCCACGCAGGAGCACCCTCAACCCCTCGACTGGAAATTCGTGAGCCCCCTGAACCCAGCCCTGTGTCATCCTGTGTCTTCGCGGCTTGGGTTTGGCTTCGGACTGACTTGGACTCTTGACCTGTGGATAAGGGCTTCGGATAGTGGTGTTAAGAAGTCAGCTTCAGCAACAGCTTCAGCTGCTCAAGTCCTCGTTGAGGTTGAAGTAGTTCATCATGCCTCAAGAGCGGCTGCTCTGATGAGATAAACAAAAGGGTCCACGTTTCGGCACCTTGGGATTCTGGGGGATTCTGGGGATGACGCAGCCTTCACAAGCTCTTGGAGAACAACCGCCTGAGTGCGGGACAGGTGAGCGAGGTGTAGCTGGACTCCATGGGCTCGCAGACCCTCCATGGCTCACTGTCGAAGCCTTCAGTTTTGGTCTCAAGGGTCGGGAAACGCAGAAGCGATCGCCCTCAATTAGGGGCCTTAAAGCCCCATGGCTTGGTGCAATGTACCTCCGGGGTCAAGAGCTGAGAGTAGGAGGAGAGTTCAGGCTCGACCGGGCTTGCTGGCACCAGGATCGTGATGTTTGAGCACATATTCAGGGAATGGGGCTTGAAACTGTGCTGCTCCGGGTATACACTCTCCAAGGATGCACTGCCTCAAAGATCCCAGAGAACTCCCTCAAAACAAGCAACCTCTCCTGAAGAACACTTTTGGTATCCAACTCGAAGCCCAAACCTTACCTTTTAAACCCCCCAAAGCCCTCTAGACTGTATAGCAACCCCAAACCCGAAATGAGCTAGGCCCCTGCATGCTGATGTTGGTCACTGGGCCCCCCTGCGCACGAAGTGTCGCTTCGGGTTTGTGGCGAAGCCCTTGCCCGTCAGCACGACCTGGCGCTGGTTGTCGATTTTCGCTTCTATGGTTTAGGATTGAGGAAGGGCAACTTTGGATGGGGGTGCTTCAAGGTGTGAGGAGGATACACTGCAAGGACAAAGAACCTTCTATCTTCACATGTTCTGATCCGACTGAGCCAACAGAAACGATGTTCAGCAGATGCCACGCTGGCCTGAAAAGCAACATCCTCAAGTGTGACCGAAGTCCCAGGAGGTGGTCTGAAAATTATCAGGGTTTGAGGTGTACAGGTTGAGGCGAACCACCTTGGCTCCGCCCTTTGAGGCGGTGCTGGGCGTCATTGACTCGATTGTGAGGCTCTGCCTCGGGAGAGATCGAGAAATGGATTTGGGGCTCGAATTATTGTAGGGACTAGCGCTTAGGCGAGCTGGAGTGCAGGGTTCAGAGTTGAGGGCTTAGGCTTAGCGGTTCTAAGTCATGGCAATCAAGGGTGCTGAAGGCCAGGCGGGCAAAGCCTGGCAAGCTCACCAGTTATTCCACAACTGAAGGCCTGACATCAACGATTGCCATTGGTCTCAAAACCCCAAGGCCGAAGTTCAAACAAAAATCACGCAGAGGACTAAAGTGGTGCTGAGTTTGGAGGCAAAAGGGCTTCGAATTTCGGGCTCTTGCTGAACACCAAAGCAGCGCTGAACCCTAAGCGCCCAAGCCCATAATGATTGCAAACCACCGATCAGAAGAACGGCCTCTATCACTGCGCAAAACGCTGTATGTTTTAATTTACACCCAGTACAAACATGCGTACGGAAAACCAAGCTGCATACATCAACAAGCACAAACATGCGTACCGAAAAAAGAAAAAAGTGCATCCGTATCTGTTGGACATGCCCGCTGAATGCGAGAAAAACCCGCTCGCATATGCAAGCCCGATGTTAAGACCTTGGCGAGGCCCGGCCCCAAGACACCTTTGTATAAATAAGGTCAAAGTCTAAGCCTTTCGCTGCTCACGCTTCCCGAGCTCTCACTCACATACGTGCTTGCTCACTCCTCACACGATGGTGCTTCAGTGCATACGCAACGGTGCTGATGAAAGACTGCGCCTCTTGAGACACCTGCACCTGCACCCCCCCCCCCCCCCCCCCCCCTACTTTGCACTCAGATCCTAAACCGACCGCGCCGAAGGTGTGGCTTGCGCACGGGGTTGCTTTTTGCTCATACCGAAGCGAAGAAGAAGAGCGACCCGCAGCAAATGGCCAGCCTGGAGGCAAATGGACTGATGAAAGTTCCATGTCAGCAGTCCTCAATTTCACAGGTAGCCAACCTGAAGGTCCAAGTCACAGAATTAACAATCCCGAAGCCAGACTTCACAAGAGCAAACTCCAATAATATCATAATTCCTGGGTGAGAGGCCTATGAGATCCTGCAAGGTTCCGCGGGCTTTGGATTTCGGGGAGCTCCTGATCAGCGACATCTCTTCAAGGTTGCGGTTGCTGTTGGGGGCACGCACTCGGTACGCACGCTCAAGCTCTGGCTCAGAGACTTTTTAGAGTCACGGGGGCTTGGCAAGGTGTCGGGTTGAGATTCTTTCCGGAAGTTGCGTGTTGGAGTTTAGGGCAGGATTGCATGGACCCGATGCGAATCGAGCTCCAAGCCTTGGCCGCAAAAACTGCTCCCTTTTTGAATCATTGAATCGAGCGCTGGAAAGCAAAAGAGCACACAAGTCCGCAAGAGCTCGGCTCCCTTGTCAAGAAACCCCGAACCCCAACACCGAAGAACATGAAGAACACACCGGCTCACCCTGAATCTTCGAAACCGCAGAGCAGAAAGTCAGCGGTTCGTGATTAAGGGCTTAGGACTTAAGGGGTTATAAGGATCACCTGACCCAGCCCTGGGGGGACCATTTTGACGAACTTCTTGCCCCCAGAAGCGCCAAGAGCCGCCGAGCCGCTGCACGAAGGCAAAAGATGTCACCTCAATGTCGAAGCAGAGCCCGGTCAGCAGCGGCAGAATCATCTCCTCAAAGCGAACACACAAACGCGCTTCATGTGCCTTGGGTCTTGAGCTTTCAGAAGGATCTGTAGGGTTGAGGGTATAGGGCTTAGGGTTGATTTCTGCAGTGTGCGCTGGCTTGAAACACTTCAACGCTCCCTCGCAGGCCCTTTCCCGAGTTGGGATTCCGATGGTTTGAGGGCCCGCCCAGGCCTGCAGACAGACAGGGAAGATGGAGGATGTATCGCTCTTGTGGCCGAGCCGGGGAAGAAAGCAGGCAGGAATCGCAAAGAACCACGTGCGGCACCACCAAGATGCAGGTAAGGATCCCACTTACCACAGCACATGCCACCCCAACCTCATTTAATCTACAATGCCAGCCCAGGTGCGCCCAGCGCAGCGCAAGCCACTGTGAAGCCTGCACCGGCTGAAAGACTCTACCCTGCTAAATAGCCTCCTCTGCACAAGACGTCATACATGTTGTAGAGGCATTAGATGATTTGGCCATGCGGCTCTTAGAAAGGCATTCGCACCCGCTCTCACTCTCTTGCTCTGGCTCTCGCTTTGTTGTTCTTTCTTTGGGGCATGGGGGTGGCCCCCCGCGCGGATGCGCGCCCCAGTCCGTCTGCTGCTCAGTTCCTGCTAACGCTCGCAGGCAACCGTATTGGCCGCCATAGCCCCACCTGTTGGAGGCCCGGTATCGGCCCCCTTTTGGCACCTTAGTCCCTTAGCGGCTCACTCCGAGCCTCACCCTCTAAATTAGCGGCCCCCCCCGAGCCCAGAGTGGCTTGTACTCCTACGGCAGAGCCCTGCCCCCATGAACTCGGATATTCAAGCGGCCCTTTCCCTAGCCCCCTATTTCTCCGCCCTGCACTGCTCGCAACCTCCCCCAAGCCGCTCTCTCTCTCTCTCTCTCTCTCTTTCTCTCGCTCTCGTTCTTTCTTTCTCTTTGGAGGGCTTGCTACCTCACGTTCAATTCTCAGTGTTCTGGGGTTTATAAGCAAGTAGTAGATCACACGCTTCGAAGCAACCAAGCCTGACAACGAACTAATCTGCTGGCAGCTTGGGCTTTCGTAGGCTTTCTTGCCTGCAGCACGGCCGCCCAGGGGCTCTGGGTGCAGCTTCTCCTGTCAGGGGGTCTCTTGGCGCCGGCGCCGGCGCCTTGCTGGCCATTTCCTCTATTTTCCTACCTCCACTCTGCATCTGTCCGACTCCTCTGCTACGAGAAGGGCGCCGGGGAAGAGCGGACCAAGTGAGAAGCCATAGAGAAAGGTGCAGAGGACGACCTGGGTTGGCTTCGGAGGGTTGAGATTTAACAGCTCTACCTGCACCATAGATCCTACAACATCTTGGGGCCGCGAATAGCTGTTTTGGTGCATATTCAACGAGTTTTGGGTCATGCTTTGCAACAAAGAGGAGTAGGACATGGCTCTTCGGGCTTTTTCGACAGTTGCGAGCCGGGGCTTTGGTTCACCCCTCAGCTTGACTAGGCAAAAGCATCGTAGACACGCCCCCCCAAAAGTGAGGACCTCGAGACACTCCTTCAAAGGGCCTCTTGAGTCTTTGAGTCCAAGCCTGGGAACCTGTCGATATGCAGACTCACTACACCCTTGAAGCGACAACCAAGATCCAAAGCTCTGTGCCTTAGAAAAATCCCCAGAAGCCCACACGACCCGAAGCGTCCTAAGCAGAGCCGAAGCGAAGCCAATAGCCGTAGCCGTCCCGCCTCACCGGAGAGGCCAGTCCCAGGACGCCAGGAGCTCTGGGCGAAGGCAGCCATGGATGCAAAGGCCCCCAAGAGGTGGAGCTGGATATATCCTTGCGTAGCGAGCTTCGGCAACCGTGGTGTTTGATGTCTGTCCTGACTCTGTGTCTCACTTTGGGGAGGACCTCTCGGCTCGGGGAAGGGAAGTGCAGGGATGTCCAAAAGGCCTCGAGGCTCGAAGGCTTTGCGGAGAACCTCCGTTTCGAGTGCCTATCCACCCTACAAGCAGTTCTGCAAGCCCTTGCAACAAGAAAGAGCACGCGGGACAGCACCCCCAAACCCCTGGGGCTGCAGGGTGAGGGGCTGGCTGTTTGGGGCTATGGGGTTGAGGATGACGGTACCATGGGCGAAGCTGTGCGACTTGCTGTCAAAGGGCGGTAGTGGTTCCTGGGCTGAGGGCATCCATCCAGAATCAAAAGTATCAAGGCAGAAAACTTACAGTACTTTGGGCGGGTCCTGGAACTTACGGCGGTTGGGCAGAGCTTGTTCAGCGCTGTCGGCAAAAGCTGGGACACGGGCAGCTTAGGGCTTAGGATAGCTTAGGCTTCTGTTAGTGCCTTGAGGGCTGGGGGTTGGTCCCGGAGCTATGGCGACCGGGCGTCACGTATGGCGTGACCAGCGTGGCGACGAGGCCTGGGCGGCACAGACATCGAAGAATGGAGGCCCCGAGGCCCCGGACCAGCTCGAAACCATAAGCCCTGCACACCGCACACCCTGATAGCAGGAGATGACATCAAGACAAAGATAACTGCAAAGGGTGAGATTTGGAGCGAGGTTTGTAGAGACACACGCCCCTCTCCGCCCTCCCCGATCCCATGTAAACACACTAATTATTTGAAAAAAGGCATCTGCAACTCAAAGCCTCCTGGGGCTAGATTTCTCCGAGAAAAAGTTGAAGGCCAAGGGCTTGGCCAGGCTTAAAGGCCAGGCCAGCTAGACAGCTAGACTTCAGAGGCAGTTGGCTTAGGATTCAGCATCTACAAGCTAGTTATGCTATTTGCAGGGTTCCCTCCTTGTGAGCAGGAGGCTTGTGGTATGCGTTGCTTTCTCGCCTGATAAACCCAGCGCCTCCATTCCTGAGGCCACAAAATCCTTGACAATTCCACTTAAGCCAAACAAACTCGAAGGAGCGGCACAACACAGCCTCGAAACCCTGCTGAAGCCAGCAGGCTTACCCGAACAACGCTCAGAGTCATGGCAACTTTGACAAAGCCTTGAAGACAAACCAAGGCTTCCGCACACTTCGCATCCCATACAAAGACTGAAGACTTCCTCTCTCTGCGCTTCCAAGGGGCGCGCGGCGCTCAGTGCCGCCCAGTACAACGACGTGAGGTTAGCCGCGGCTACCTGCATGGGCAGTTCGAAAGGGCCGCTAGACCCTTTCCTGCGTCGTCGGATTCTTACGGCTCATGGGCCTGAAGCAGTACACCTAAGCCGAGAACGCTGGATGCCCCATGCACCACGCACCGGGGTCCGCAGAACCCCAAGCCGCCTACTAACCCCAAGCAAACGCAAAACGTCCTGCGTGCAGCCTCACTTCCATGCTTTTCCTCCTTGTGCACGTGGCTGCAAGAGCAGAACACATCACAGCGATGCCAGGGGGTCTCTGCCGGTCGGACCCTTCGAGCGGTGCTGGAACACAGGGCAGGTGTCAAGGAAACTCCAAGTTCAACCCCAGGAATGTACCCCAAGAACCAAGCCTCCAACGTTTGTGTCCCTTGCACCGACCGAGGGCTGTCTTCGCTGACTCGGTCAAAGGAGTGGTGTGTCTGAAGAGAGGATCCCTTTGGGGCCTCCTGTTGCTGAAAGAAGGCATCTGCTGATGTTGTGCACTTGGAGCAATTGGCATACTACTCGCAGTAACAAGACGGCAGGATCTGGTCTTATGGACAGGCCCGGCCCGGCCCACCTTCTAGGAGCCCCTGATCAAATCTGTGTCTGAACGCCTTCTTGGAAGCAAATAAAGCTCTTGTTTGCGTCTCATCAGCATTCAAGGTCCAACATCGAATACACAGACATGTATGTTCTTGCATACCTTCATACCCATCTTCGAACCGAATTCAGATCTGTTTGCATTCCGCCGAAGACGTGCACGTCAGACTAAGCCTATAGTGGAATTCCCAGGTTATTCTTATCCTGATAGAACATACATCATACTTTGCACGTATTTACATACTTCGCATACGTTGTCTGTTCTTTCAGCTGACTACCAAACAGAGTGCAACGTGGTGAATACAAGGGCCTATTTTCTGTCGCACCCAAAATCCGAAACCTGATTCAAGGACCAAATCACTAGAGGGCGTCCTTATGGCACTCGATTGCCCACTCATGCACAAGCGAGGTGAAACTACAAACCGCCGAACTGCCTCCTCTTTGTCAAGCTTGACAGATGCGCTGTAAGGATTTGGGGTCTTGAGCTTTGGGGCTACGCGGCTCCAGCCCCTGGAATCCTTGGGATCCTTGCGGTTTGAGGATATGGGGGCTTGTGCCATGAAGCCATGCAATCTCCCATAAAGCGGCGAGCCGACAAGGCCGTTCTTTAGGCTCTACAGGACACTGGTGTCTTCGCCCGAACTCCTCAGCATCAGCAGCCGTTGCCTTGGGCGGTTTGCAACAACACGTTTGCCTGCTTTAGGGTAGGAGCATCGTAGGGAAGAAAGGTTAGAGGTTCGCTGGGGCAGCGCGTCTTGGTCCGCGCACGGAGATGACACATCAAACTCAAGCTTTATCGACCAGGTTGACTCAGAGTCTTGAGGCTGCGTTAGGGGGCCTACCATGGGCCTAAGCGGTTTGGCACATAACTGCCCATCTAAGCCATCATCAAGCGAACCGGAGGGGTCTTGGGAGTCTCGTACCAAGGCACATCTCTCTGAGAGAAGAGAGATTTTGTTGCAACGACTGCAGCATGCTCATCATTCTCATCGTCTCCTTGGCACTTGGGCCATACACTCACAACTTGCCAGGTAACGTAATGTAATGTCGAGAGATGCGGGGCACTCGCCTTACACAATTTCGGGCGCCAGCCATGCTCTTACATAGGCACGCCGGACTTAGGGGAGAGCCCTGAGCGTCAGGACGGCTTGGGGCCGTGAAATGATCGAAAGCCCAGGCTCCACTGGAACATCGCGCACGATGATGTGCAGGACTCCATCTACGAACTCGTCCTTGTCAAGCGTGCCTCGCAAGCATGGACTTCACATGCTTGAATGCGCACTGCCAGCTGACAAGAATGTTGCGCCAGCACATCGAAGAAGCTTTTGTGTTGAAGCGACCAACGGAGATGCCAGTGAGCAAATTAGCTCATGTTCGACAGCATCGCCGCACGGGACTCCAATGGGACTCAGGGGTTCAAGGCGTTGACAGGCTTTAGGGTCCCCCTACCCAATCATAACCCCCATTCCCCCGAACTGCACGAACGCCCTTATTCTCCAGTACCCCTAATGCCCTTATACCTCAAATTCCGAATAATGCCTTAAACTGCAGCAGCTCGGGTTTTGGGTTAGACTCAGGTTTGGTACCTGTCTGGTCCACGTCCAGCAGGTCAAAGAGTTCGACCTGGGCCGGGCGTGTCCCGACCCTGTTCTTGTATCTTGTTGTTGCTTTGCCCTTTCCTTAGAGGGCTTGGGGATTCATACTCTTGCTTTCGGAAGGTTAGGGCTTCTGATTGGTTAAGGGTAGACATTCGGGCTCGGCGTGTCGGCAGCTCATCTTGACATGCAGCAATGCGGGCGTACCGACAGAATGAGCCACGGGAACCCAACACCATACAAGGTTGGGCCCCTCTTTTGTTGGGCTTTTCTGGAGTGTTTGATGACCTCGAACCCTTCAGATCCCTTCAGCCGCAGGACTCAACCCAACCCTGAAAGCAACCGGAAGGTCTGTGCAGAGTTGCGAGATTGTCCACACACAGCGCCTCGAGCAAGTCGTGCGGAATCAGGGATTCCTCAGCTGCACATTCAAGAGCCGAGTCTAGCTGCGTTCAGAATACCAGAATATACGCAGAAGGTCTCAGATCTGCTTACCCAGTCCTGCCAGTAGTGACCTAGGTGAAGGTCCAAGTCTTTGCCTGGGGACAAGCTCTTCCTCAACGCGTTCGTCGAATCGTTGCAGGGATGTCTTGCCGAAGCTACCCATGCTCCGTATCGAGACAGAGATTGCATCACTGCCGGCGATGACGACATATCAACCCTGCCAACTCCGAAAGCCAAATTCTAACATCCTCATCTGCAAAAAGTGATAGCCTCTGCAACCGTCAAAGCAAGCCCCGACTTCCGATCCAGGCGCGGGCAGTGAGCTCAACTCCTTCCGCGAGAGGCCGCCGTCCTCCCCGACTCCCCGGCTTTGGGGGTTGGCAGTGCTCGTGGCTACTTGGGTAGTGTGGGTCTTCTGCGGCTCAGCGGTGTTGGGGATTTGGTCGAGCCATGCTGAGCGCCGTACAGGGCCTTATGGCATCTGACAATTTAAGGGCTAAGGGTGTCCAGGTTGCAGGGTGAAGAATGCCTGCAGGGCGATGTATCCAAAATTCTGCGACTGGCTGCTCATCTTTCGGGTACATTTGCTCCAGAGAAAGGGAATGCTGAGCGCCCCGAAGGAAGACGGCAGTCCGCAGCATAAAACAGAGGTTCATCATTTTCATGTGAAAAGTCAACACGCAAACGGGCAATAACGTCACTTATACAAACGCAAACGCACACGCACGCATACGCACGCACGCACGCACGCACACGCCGCGCACACACGCACGAGCATGCGCGAAAGCGCTCAAGCACACGCGTTTTTTCGCGTGCGCGCGTGTGAACGCGCTCACGCACAAGCGCCCGCGCGTGTACACACTACAAACACTACACACACTGCACACGCTACACATACACACAAAACACTACACACACTACACACACTACACACACTACACGCACTACACACCCTACACGCACTACACACACTACACACACTACACACACTACACACACTACACACACTACACACAACACACACCACACACACTACACACTACACACTCACACACTACACACACACGCACACTCTGCACGTGATTTGGTTCTCGAGTTCTTGCCAGTACTTGTCCTTGTCGTTGTCCAGCTGCTTGAAGATTTCCTCACTTGGCTCGGGGTCGGGTGCAGAGATCCCAAATCCTCAGGCCTCAAGAAGCTTGGCCCAAATCAACTCAGGGGCCCGAGACCTTGGAGCCTGACAGATGGAACAAAGAACAAAAGAAACTTCATGTTCACAAGGTCTTATGTCGAGAAAAGCGGGGTTCTCAAGTGGGGACGACAAGGGGAGGGGGTGAGAGGGGTGAGAGGGGGAATTTGGCATAAAGACACCCAAAACACTGACGTACCACGATGACTCCCGCGAGATTCTGGCCAATAAGATCAACATGCTTACCTCTCTTAGAGCAACTGGCTAATGCTCGTCAAGAAGAATCAAGTGCAGCAGCCCTAGCGGCCCTAGCGGCCCCAGCAGTTAAAGTCGCAGGAATCCTGGCCTTTGGGGTATGGGTCTGCTTCTAGGGACTGACTGGCGGAGGTTTTGGACTGCAGAATGTCCACCAAACATCACTGTTGGGCAGCTTCCGGACAAGATGCCAAAAGGTGCAACACAGCCTTCTTCATCTCCTCTGATTTCGCCTGGCTTCTTCAGAGAGCAAGCTGAGAAACAAGCTTTAAGACTCCGAGCCCTCCACGAGTACTGCAGTTAACACGAAACCACAAGTTTTTGAGCCACCAAGGAGGGATTCGCAGACCCTGAACCGACCTCTGCATGGGTCTCTGGGTTACGACGCCCTTGCAGCTTATAGGCTTTCGCGGCTTCGCACTCGCCCAAGCGGCTAAGAGCTGAAAACCACTACCGCACTCAGGAGTCTGAAAAGCTACAAGGTGCTCTCTTTAGGCCTTCACTGCAGCGCTGGGAGGAGTGCCGAAGAGCAAAAGAACACGCTACCGTCTGCACAATGCTCTCAAAGCTGGAGGTTCTGCGTTTCCAGTACAGTAGCCAAGCAAATCCTAGCTTGACCACCTGAAGCAACCCAGAGATGCACCAGCTCCGGCTCGAAACCGTTGCTTGGCTCGCGCCTTGTTTTCGTAGTCCGCCTCTTGCTGCGCCTCTCACGAGCTGAACAGGGTCAGTACGTTCTTTCAGTATGGCGGCGTGGTGAGACAAAACTGTATCTTGGGACACTTAGCAAAAGCAGCCGGTAACTGACAACAAACCAACATCCTCAGATTAGGCCGCATACAAACTCGAAAGGAATCTGCACGAAATCCCAAGCAGCGGCCATAAAACAACTAAAAACCTCCCTTCTTTGACCTCCCCCCCCCAAGAACCCT